GATTGTTAAACGTGAAAGAGAGAAAATGCATGACTTAAAACTGAATTATTATTCATATGTATAAACATACATATGAGTCTTCAGGCACTGCTACATTATCTATTAACAGACACTCTAATGTCAATCACGTAAAACGCCAAAAAAATAAAATTCACCACGTACAACCCAACATGCAAATATTATGCACACATAACGCAATATAATGTTTCATATCTGTTAGGATATTCATCCAATATTCTAAGAGAATTATTAGTCAAGTTCTATTGGTCAAAATTATGGTCGTTTTAACTGTCAAAGTCATACACTTAAATGTTGTCTCTTATTAGTCATCGTTACTATCAATGTCACTGCAAATGGTACTTCCTATTGGTCATCCTAACTGTCAATGTCACCGAATTCGATGCTGTTTCCTATTTGACGAAAATGTAGAAATACGTATTATCTGAAACGTTTTATGACCACGCTCAGGACCAGGGCTCGGTCACGGATCCCTTATCCGGGATCCTGATTTCTTCTGGATTCAGACCTCGTACTTTCTGGATGCTTGTAGAATACACGTTTTATTTCATATCATGTTTTCTTATTTTTCACTAAATATGGGGGATGGGATATTCGGATTTGAGTAGCATTTCGTGTCACGGGATCCTCGATCCTCGCTTTCGTTTTCCGACTAGGTAAACTAGTAATAGTTGAAGTATTTCAAGTTAACGTGTTTACGTGCTAGGCTTAATTATATGCCAGTCTAATATTTTCACTATTTTGGAGCAAACTGAGAAGAGATATAGAGTTTTTGATATGTATCAGAACGAGGAAACAATCATTCCTCTCACTGCTCACTGTTACTCTGGAAAATTGTTATCGATGTATAGTAAGATATCATTGACTAATACATTGTCTGGCTTGGATACTTGAGAAAAGAGTGCGTGTCACTTCGTAATAATTTAAATAAAACTAGATTTGCAAAAAATGGTGTACTTAGATAGAAAGCTGCCTGTTCTAATCAACGAGAACTTACTTCACAATTCAGTTTATCTTGCAATGTACTTCATAAGTTAAGTGACAGAGATGAATTTCGCCTTGCGAATGTGTTAGATTTAAAAAAATATCAGATTGATTCGATTACAATCTAGACGAGGATACCAGCAGAATATCAGATTGCTGCCTCAGTGATCAAAGTTTTACCTCAATAATCGCGCCGGAGCAGGTAAAATTAGGTTTATTTGAATTCGCTGTAAGTCAACATACTGCGCAAAATCATTTTCAATTTCATGTAAAGTAGAACTATACAATGGCTACAGTAAATTGCAGCTCGTACTTTGTATTTTTTCCAGTTTGTAAAGTGCGGTCAGTCTATCATCACTGAAAACTTTCATACATGATTTTATGCTGTCAAAAATGAATAGAAATGAAGCAGGTACAATTGAGTTTACGATAATTTTGATATTTCTTCCACTATCGTTTGTTGTTCTGATAATTGTACTATCGAAAATTTTAACTTATAAGCCGAAATAAAAGTTTCAGGCGTATAGATTCATAGCGGAATTCAATAAAGAATTATTTGCTTTTTACATACTTGTCATTGGTTCAAATTCAACCAACGTTCCACTTGTGATCCAGTGTCTGAGAATAGTTATATGATTAAATTTGACTGAAACTTTTCTGAATATAAAAATTGATAAGTTGAATAATATGTCGGAATGTCAAAATATAAGTGGTAAACAAACGAAATAATTGCAGACAGATTCTAGGACAAATCTAACGAAAAATTATGATTGTTGATCAAACATTCAGCTCATATTTTCGAGATTCAGTGCAAATAAGTTGTATCTTCCCCTAATTACGCTGCGAATAATTATCTCTGAATAAAACTGAAGCTCTTAACAAGATAGAATCATGTGAGTATGAAATATGACGAGATATTGATGTTCCACATTTATATTACTATATGCTGACCTAGTGTACTGAAGTTTGGGCGTTTGAATATAGTACAATTTAATGACTCATTTGAATAAACGCAAAATCAGATTTTCACCTGCTTCTAAGTGTCAAGAAAAATACAGATTGCAAGCCCAACTCATGAAAAAAGTGCAATATGCTAGGTGAAGGCTTTACTTTGATGTGAGTGTGCAAACAGAAAAATGAGGGCTTAAAGGCTACGTGTAAATCATATGAGCATCACCACTTAAGTGGCCTCCAACTTACTCAAATTTAAGTGGATGTCTGCGTATGCTGTGAAAACATTCACCGACAGTTTCAGTATGTCCAATCAATATTATGTATCATATCAATATATATCAACCATCTGTTTGACGGTTTTGAAATCAGGCTAAACAAAGTTTCGTGGATGAAATTGATACACTTATTCATTTCAACAGACAGACAGGAATGAAATGCACTCAATCAAAGCAAAAGAAATTATGAAGACGAGTCAGTCAACGCAATACGAAGAGATATGTCTTTCTATTCATTATCTGACAATAATAGGCTAGATATGTGGTAAGTGTTGTAAGTATGCACATACATACAAACAAAAATAATGAAGAGGTGATCAAGTGTTTGAGAAGGTATAAAATCACTTGCTGTCAAAGGATTATATATTTTGTCCGAAGGCCGTAACAAACATACTGACTTGACAAACGTGTAAATACTGCATGAGATACTTGTGGCTTCTGTATTGCTGAAGCTTCGGAAGCTATACTTCATAAAGTAGCTTAAGACCCAGTGAAATTATTGTCACGTACCTTCGCATTTTCCAGAAGATCTTGTCTATGTTCTGCTGAATGCTGTTTGAATGAAAAGCTTACTGGAATTTGTGAACTTAAATAAACACTTGTGAAGGACATTCTGGTGCTCTTCAAGCATTCACATCACTTGTAAGAAAAAGATTGTCGGAGATCTCATTCATCCACTTTGAGCTTCAAAAAACGTTGCACTTCTTACAACGTATACAGGTCATGTTGAAACTGGACAATAATTGTGTTCCATGTAGTCGAGCGATAATAAATGGAATCTTTTTTGTGTAGTCAATTCTCATTCATTCATATTATTATGATACTGGTCGTTTACGAGAAGAAGACATTAATATAGATAGTGTTATGAACAATATGAAACTCATGAATCGTTTTGTATGCGTTTGAGTTGTAAAAGTATTCCTCTAAAAGCCACTTTTTGAGCGTGAAAAAGACTAGATTTCCTAGTCTTACAGTCACAGACGTCAGCACTTTAACTGACTCACTGAAGGACTGAAATATTCGTATTTGTTAGGAGAGAAATCTTATTAAGAGAAATCTTGTTCAGTTATTGTATTAGTACCGGTCAATTTTCATTTTATTCATCCATTTGCACACTAAACGATTAGATTCATTGAATTGTTGATCACCTATCTCGCTAATATTTTTTTCACTTATGAAACAAATAACGTTTTAGTGGAATATACTCTTCAAAGACGGATGTCATATACTGTGCCTTCTGCCGATCAGAGTAGGTGTCCATTGATCGATTTCACAATACACTCGCGAGTTGTGTTGTCCTTCAAATGCCCATCAAATAATTAAGTTCTACTGGCGATTATCACAGACGTCTCACCGCTGATATTTACCACATTAACAGAGAACATTCGAGCTTGCATAAATTCATAAGTTGCGTTCAAACCAAATAGAAGGTAGTTACACTTAAACAGTCTTCAAAACGTGACAACCTTTACCGAATGTGATGAAATATATAAGCAATCCCATTGATGTAAGCATCTTTCACAACGGATTCAAACAACTGAGAAGTTTATTGAGAATTTTTTCCCCGGAAAATGCTGCATTTGCCTACTTAAACGAACGAAAGTTCGCTGTACAACTATGAATAATATAATGTGCACCAGTTTTTCCAAAATAAGTTTCAAATTTTAGATAAGAATTATAATAAGTTGAAAACTGAAACGCTTCCTCAATCATATGTTTGCACAAATCGTTTAGTGCTTAAAAAACAGCTTCTCTAAAACAATGAGACATCGTTTGTTTCCAGATTGCATTACAGTGACACATTGATTGAAATTATAAAAAGCCATTCCCTATCAACAATAAAATCTTGGAGTGCACCAGAATACGGTAAAAGCAGCATTTGAAACTGTTAATGATATTGATAACTGATTATTTGAGACTGCAGTGTCATTAAAATCAAAATGAATGGGTATAGTATGTCAGGTAGCGAAATGTGAGTGACCTAAACACCAGCTTTGACGCAAGATTAACATCATCCTTTATAGCATTCTTTGGAACCGTTTGTGTGTGTCAGTGAACATTTGGATTCAGCAGCTGAGTGGATAAGGAGACGGCGTTTGCTGTGTAAAATATTGGGTTATAATTGGTTTCAAATCAAACTTATTTAGAATTGGATTAAAGAATGAGCTGATACACATAGTTACATGAACTGAATACTCGCAAATTACACCATGTTTTATATATATATTGTGCAGAGAAACGATCAATATTTCGATTTTACAGTGTGATCTATTTACCCGTAGCTTTGAAATGAGGTTTCAATAAACGGAGAGCGATCACGTAACGCAAGCTTTAAGCACTCTGCTATGCGTCATTTCGGTGTTCGGAAATACAGTTGGAAAACAAACGCAATGTTATTGGTTGGCCTTCGTGAAGATGAACATATTCGAATTTGCCACAAACCTCAGGATCATAATTGACAATTTACGAATGAATCTCTCCCTTTCAGCACAAATATGTTTTACTCAAGAATAAAAAGGATATGAATTCTATGAATATATTTAGGTTATTTAAACAAAATTGCATGAGGAAATATTGATAAATGAAAGTAAAAGAACGGCAGTCCTTATCAGATTACGCGAGATGTTGATTGCATGAACAGCAAAATACAAAGAATTATAAGAAAATACCAGAATAAACAAGTAAGCCATGTGTGATATATAAACTATCGGTTATTAAAGAAGTTCAGAAAAACGACGGTTTAAAATATCAAACGTATAGTTATAATATGAGGTTCGTAATGATCTTTTGTTTTTAAAATTGAGTAAGCACACAAAATTAGAGAAAAGAAGTCGTACAAGTAGACGTTGGCTTCTATTGGGACACTTTCAATGATAGATTTTGCCACACGGGCTGATGATCTGAAATGAAAGAAATTATACAACAAATCACCTAGAAGACATTCAAAAAATGCTTTTGTATGCGACTCAAAAGCCGCTTTGTCTCACTCTACAGATCTATTTCTAAACTCATTAACAACCAATAAATTGTGATAATATTTTAAGTAGATTTGGAAATGCTTGTCAGACACAAATGTTTTGAAATTTATTTTATCGAGAAAACAAAGTCTGAAGTTCTATTGAAATCACACAATATATGCTTCCAGACTGATCACAATGGCCCCAGAAGTTCAAGCTTTACATCTGTTTTTAGTCATATTCAACCTCATTATACACATTCCTCCTTACACAGAACACACAATTATGACCATGTATTGCGCTGTCAGGTACAATCGAGAGAATGATTGTTTTAACGCATGTTGTTCGTACTGAATCGTTTTGAAATGTGCTCTCTGACTTGACTTATTTTTGAAAGAAAATTATTCATACCGTCTTCCACAGATTTCAATGATATTTTTCTTAGAAATGAAAACAAGTTCCTACATGTTCGTTGACACATTAGGTGTTAACACATTGTGATATCCGCAGACAATATAAAACATTACATAATTTTCAGGAAGATCATAGATGAAATAATGACATCTAGTCGTTGAGACCGCTGGATTGCTTTACTAGCATGGTCATAAGCGAGAAAGGGTCATGATTTATCCGTCCGGACAAACAGTTTCCTACACGTATTTGAAAGAATTACATTAGTTCATTTCAAAGTAATCCCAAATTAATAGTAAAGAGAGCTACAAAGGAAAAAGGTTTACTTCTAATACAATTATTGCACACACTTAGATGTCGATTATGAACATCACGATTAGTCATTAGGCCATCATATGTGTTTCCTTCCATGGAACAGATCAACAAAGTACGTGAGTGGTTTACAACCAGTAATTTTGTTTTGTGTAACACGAATATTTGCTTCACATGTCTTCATTACATGATTCTTGTCGACAGATTCCTACATTTTACGACAGAGGAAGACTCGATGTATTGTATTCACGCATCACACTCAATACAGTGTCTGAGTAATGAAAGCTTATCAGTGAAGTTAAACAACTATGGGGTTTCCTACTTTTTATAAACTATATGTATGTCAGATTGTTACAACTCGTTATATCTCTGATAATCACATATTACCCGTTAAATACTCACATTTGATTTTCTCTTGTATATCAATATGATTGTGACACAGGTCTTAACTAATATGAGGAGAGAAACTACTAGTAGTACACCAACGTAAGTGTACCGACGAGACCCGCTGCGTGGATGAAGTTCCATGTTGCTTCCAGATGTGTTTGCTGTGATTTCTTTCTGCTTGACTTCATTCTTTTCAGTGACAACAATATTTTTCCTTTCTTCCTCATCTAAAATTTTCTGAAAAATAAAGCCATAATCTCAATATGAAATAATCAATTTATATCGATCGAAAGTTGGTTTATTTTTCAATACTGTCCATATTTGTGAATGGATTCACGTTATCACCAAAATGAAAAATTACATTTTCTATAATTCAACGTTCTTTACAAGATTCAATTGCCTTTTTTTTTATTATTTACGAATTTATCTCCGATGGTAATGTCTAGTTGCAGACTGTAGAAGAATCCTGATAAAATGTTTAACCACACAATTTTGTGGGCCACTTATAACATATACAGACGGGGTCATACATTCAAAGGTCTTAAATAACGAATGTGCTTCATCATCAAGGAAATGAACTTATTTTTCCAATGAAGTAAGGTATGGACAACTATTGATACATATTGTTTTATATTCAAATAGATTTTCCCTTTCACTCCAAACTTATCATGAGTAAGTAAGAGGTTTGCGAAGTCAGCGAGTAGCACAATCACATCTAAACGGAATATACACCGGTAACTGATATATATATATATATATATATATATATATATATATATATGTAGTAGTCCGTAGTGTAGTCACCAAATGTAGTCCATAGTGTTGTCTAACCAACCCTTTCAAATGCTTTCTCTTAGCTATTGAAGTTGGTGTGTGCAATGGTGAGTTTCCTTTAATTGATTGTTCTACAGCGATGCGTTATGTTACAAATCGGTCGGTATACGATCGATGCTTACATAATTCAGATTACCGATCTCGAAGTTTAGCGTTTACGGAATCCTTCATTTTGTTAAACAGCACACTGTTGAAGACGTTCACTGGTGTTGATAAAAAGTGGTGCTTCCATGTTGGGGATGTTAGATCCCCAGAACTCGCTTGATAAATATCTATATTTTGGATTTATTTGATGGGACGATCAGTTCATATGGAAATCACATTTCTCACCAGGAAAATCCCTCGTTCTGTTTTGTAATGTGTCATTTTATGTAGCTATTTTGTGTTTCTCCTAAGGAGGTCTATATGGCGTACAGGCAAATGCCATTTGTGTGCTTGAGCTGATTGTTTGCTGACTGAGTGTTTGTAAACTACACTTTCTACGCCATATCAAGACTGCTTGCAGATATCATTAGGACAATCAGATCACAATAACCTACCTGGACGGTGATCATTAATTTGTTTTCGTTACGCGACCAAGGTGAACCCGTATTAGTTTTAAGTATACCTAGAGATAAGCATAACACTATGAAATTCTTACGCTAGCTGAGAACGCCTTTCTTAAGTATCTTATGAAGCATCATATTCATGGTAATAAAATATTCTTACAGACAATCAGAATTCAGTATGATGAAAAACAATGTTTCATTCAAAGGGCACTTACATCACAATTATTTTCTTTCCAAATTGCAGTATACACGTCATGACGGTTACTGCATTGTTCAGCTGTTGGACACCAATGACATTTCACTCCACCTTCTGATGCGGCTTTGCAAGATTGAGGTGATCGTTGTCCGGAACAAAATTCTATAAAAATAATGATATTAGGGCAGTTCACACTATCGAGAAATGTACATCAGATGTTGCGTGTGAGTGATGAAATTCTACAAGCAAATTTTGAGGATAACAACGACTGTCGAATTGGTCCTAATTCCGTTCCGCAGATTATCGACCGGTTGTATCAGCAGTTTAAAATGATACTTCAACGATCGCACACGCGATCAATCTGAAAATGTTTTCTAAAACATTACAATGTGCTAAAGATTACTGATATATGATAAGTGTACATATCCACCAACTATGAAAAGCCAAAGTTGGTTCACAACATCTAGTATTTCGTGACATAGTGAATTTGCGATTGTTTTAAAATATGGTGACTTCTTTTTCAGTTCAATCTATCTTTTACATTATTTCAGTCCATTAATAATAAATGGAAATTAAGCACTTATCCGTGAGGATCACATTATTTACGACAATTTTATGACTACCGATTAAGCTGCTTGCTGATAAATTAACGTTCGTCAATCGCAACTTGATTAGACGTATTAAAACTAGTCCGATGTATAGATGGTTAGTAATTTTTCAATGATAGATTTGTAAATTTTCACATACTTGTCATTGGTTCAAACTCCACTAACGTCAGATTTTTGATCCACGATGCAGGGGGAATTATATAATTGTACGTGTGATGACGATTTTCCGCTGACGAAAAGCAGAGGTTAACGCCAAACAAATAATAATTTCTTATTTCAACAAAGAAACGGTAAATATATACATTCACTCTTAAGCAAATCAATGAAATATTTCACAAAGAACTATAATTTGTGACCAAATATTAAGTGCAGTTACATAGATTTGGGCAGTGAACACAGTATTTTTACTAAAAACGCACGTAATACGTGTTTTGAAACCCACATTTTCACATAAACGAGACATGATTTTGCATCTGTGAAATGACCACAGGGTTTAGTATCAAACAAATATCAACGCTATGATGATACATATACACTGATTTCGGGCCAGCTGATTTTAGTGACTCAACTTTCGAACGAACTCATGCTAAACAAAAATCAGCTTCATTATTTGGTTTCACAATCTTTGGTGTCGGTAATCCAAAGTAATTCCATATATTCAGGATTGCTCGCACACTTCTCAGAGATGGAACATTTTACATTATTGTATTGTTAATTATTCATAACAGTACCATTTCGTGATCAGCATAATAAAGTGTGTTATAAATCGAGTTGATATTGAACATGCAATATGATAAATACCCTTCTGACTTGTACATTAAATGATTTACCAATGTGGACTGCAGGAAAATACTAACAACAGTACTAACTCTATTATATCCCGATTTACCTTCGCAATTGAACGAAGTGAATAGTGTATGCTCCAGTTCAATCTGTAGATAGATCGCAGGAATCTGAATAAAATGTTGAATATTTGATTAAAAAACAAACCAACTATGTCAAAAGCAACCTTCCACCGACGTTATATATGACCTCATTCAGATAATCACTTAACAACAGAATGAATAAACCTCAAACTAATCAAGCTAATATATTCACATTTTTGAGAAGTACGCCTAATTCATTATTATTATGTCTAATTCTAGATTCCTGCTTCATTGAAGTTTGATGAATAGTCTGCCATAATTAATAATATGGTGTTTAGTCATCGTAGAATAAATATTCCATTCTCTTGAAATGAATTGTTGATTTGAGTTAGTGCATCTTAACTGCTTGTATATGTGTTGTCATGAAATTATTGTCTTCTAGGTATTACAATATATTTCTCTGAATTGTGTATACAGATTATTTCACAATCATGATGACAAGTTCAACTCCAAAAAAATGAATTTATTCATGTTTCACAAATTTCCGCAGTTGTTCATCTACCACAATATTCTGTACAATTCAAAATTGAACTGTATCATTTACATTAGTGAACTAAGTAATTTTGTCAAATTCCTCATCACATAATTACTTCAACATTGTTAGCAAACGATTTTCGGAACAGTTTCGTACCCGAAGAATATGTTCGACGTGCTGATTCCAATACATTACCTCATTTTGTAGTAATCATATCAAAATAATTATGCTACATGACTACTTCTCTTTTTGAACACTATATATCACAAGTATCAATTCACTGCCAACTATCTGTCCAAGACTGCATGATTCACATCAGATTGTGCTACAACTATAATACGGAAAATATAGTTGAATATGAGAACACATCAAAAAATATTGGTCTATTTTCACTTTACGCAATGCGCTCTGACACATTGCATTGTATTGGAATACGTGAAAGTGAATAAACTGAAGTGCGAAACTCAAAGTAATATTATAAATCATTTAATCGAGCAGCTTACGTTTTCATAGAATATAGATATATTCCCATTAGGATAGATCACATAAGTCATATTCAGCTCACTTACTAAATAATGAATAACGATTCAGAAATGTGAATTATCATTACGAAGGATATTTTTGTTGAGTGTGACACTAAATATATGTTTAACTATTAGCAGGTTTTCCTTCACCAGTCACAATGTTACATTTTATTGTCCGCCACAGACCTGATATTATTCCAGACAGACCAAATAATTATGTATACATAAGATTGAACGGCGGACACTTAGTTTCAGAACTAATACTGAACATAAATTTTATGTACAAATAAATATATTCCTGTTTAATAAGAGCCCTTAGATTTGGATAGATATTCGAAATGCAAAAGTATTTTTGACATATTGTAGATACAGTTGACCAAATCGGAATTATTTCTATGCAATAATATCAATGACATTTTTGTAAACGCAACACAGTTGTTAACCTATCGTTTAGCCAGCTGCGATAACACAGTTGCAGAGTAGACTGAATTACCCACTGTTGTTCATTAATCTATTCCTCGACATATATCAGTTAAACATTATCTTCAACCGAATGGAAATTCTCTAATATTGAACATCCGATCAGCAAATGTGTTGATATATTACCATAGATATATTTAAAAGGCACTTTAATGGCTTATTGGGGAATACATAGCACAAACGTGTTAACTCTGCAGAACAGCTGATATGTCAAGTTCCATTTTCTTCTGCCAACAGAGATCGATTTGTACTTTCAAAATGAAACAAATGAAATCAGGCAATGATCTTCACAATTCACACTGTTATGTTAATTCCCATGGAACTTTGCTGAATTCTGTTCATATCAATTGTTCTCTAAGTCACAAATGGGATGTTCAAACAAGGAGAGTATTTCATAAGTAGTTAACTCATTTTTAACATAAGTAAGATTTTCCCAATTTCGTGTCGATTGGATTTATTCACGTAAATCAAACAAGTAGTGTGCAGTTACACTGGATACTGCTGCTTTTATGTTATGATTTTACATGTAACTAAACAAATTTTTCGCGTGTACTTACATTCCGCATGCCAGAACGTTATTTTCAGGACGATCATGCTCTCTATAATTACAGCAATAAGCGCATATATATATATATATATATGTTCAAATAGACATTTATGCAAATGCGAATATCTTTCTCTTTCAGCAACAGAATAAGTCTCCGCAAGAACTTTGAATTTTTCTACCAGATTGAAATGGACATTTGTGGTTAAATGAGTTTCAAGTACTGTTATTTTGATGATAGGATGAATGCTTCAAACAATGAACTGTTGATAATACTTTCACCCTCAGTTAGTGAATCTCAATTTTCCTGGAAATTTCATATATTTACCCGTCATTAGCCCTATTGAATTAGTAACTAAAATCCCGCTTTATGGATTGAATAATTCCTTTCATAGTTATCTGTGAGTTATTGTCACAAAAGTGAGTATTATTTTCACTGCTTCCAATATGAAGTGTGTGATTGAAATTTCCAGCTCCACTTACTTATAGTTCGATCTGTTTTTTCTCGATTTTTAATTTGTGCTCATTTCGCAACTTATCTTTGTCAATTTATTTACTTTGAAGCCATGAATACTAGAAATATATGTTCACTCTCTACATTACACATATAAAGCAGGAATACTACTCTATGTTTACCAATTCTTTCTGATAATAAAGTCAAATAGTTCTAATAAATGTGTGAAATTTGTTGGAAAAGCAGAAAATTATTTAAATTAAGAGAACCTACCATTAATCACACTTCTGAATTGATAGTCACTACTGGTAAATATGAAGGGAGAATCTATACCGCCTCTAGTTTTCTTTTCAGAATTGTAGAACACTATTCCGCCTGTAAGTAATTGATGAAGCAAGTTAACTGAATAATAATCTGCTAAGTTTGGATAATTTTTGAAAACTTTATTCGTTGAAATCAGACCTACTTTGAGTTAAAATTAAGTTTAATAATCTCAGTGGACAGTAAGAGATTTGACAGACATAAAATAATACTTACCATATATATCGACATCAAACGAATCATAGTATTCACCGAAAAATTTAATCGGGAATCGTGATTTGACAATCTGATAATTCACATTCATTCATATTAATAACTCTGTGAATGTTTGCATGAAACTCACCTTAAATCGACGAAGGTTACTGGGATTCGATATTCTAAATTCAGGGTTCTGATTAAGACGCACTACTTGTGAATAGTAATAATGATCCGACTACGTATGTGTGATAACATGTAACTGATATATTACTTTACGATACGAATCATTTTTAAACATTATGTTTTCATAATTCTTAGGCTCAAAGTCGTTGAACTGTAAACACCTATCTGGACACTTCAAGCAAATCGGAAGTAAACGACCAAACAAATCAAATGCAATCAACAATCCAAGTGCAACAGTGTTTCTAAAATATTCAAAATGGAAATAATAATATTGTTGTAGCTTGTCAAACAGAAACGTATAGCATGCAGTCATCCATATCAAAGTTCCTAGTCGATACACACCTCATCTCCGCGTTCAAACAAGAAAAACAATGGTACTAGTACTCCTTCAGGTTAATATACATTTTTTTAAAGGTTGTTGTTGATGCATGATTGGGTGGTCGAATCAACCAATACAATTTTTGTCGATTTTTGACTAAACGATATGATAGGATAATTCATCGTTATCTCATTTTCTGCTAGCTTCTTCACGCTATTGAGTGCCTGTACCAGATAGTAAATATTTATGCGTCTTCAAAAAATTGATTGGTTAAAATCTATCACATTTTATAGCGGACCAAATCTACAATTTAATTACCTCATTTACAATCAATGAAACTGACTGTAATTGAGAGATTGTTCTCACCAACCTGCGAAAAGAGAAAAGATTGAGATTCAAGGCATCGTTTTGGAACTTCAATTTTGATGTCGTCAGATCAGAGTGACGAGGTGACACAGTTGAAACTGAAAACAAAGGAGCACTAGACACCTGATCAAACAGCATCACAATAGTCTGTCACGACATTTTTCTCGCGCCAACAGACTCACCAAGTTCAGGATAGTTTTCAGCCACAAATCTCATACCACTCACGACCTACTTCATGACGAGAAATCCACCATGAACATTAAATGAAAAGCAAACGGGGCAGCAATAACTTTAGCAGGTTGTAGTGGAACTATGTTTGTGAATAAAACATAATTGCTGACATATTAATACTTATTATTGAACATGTGTAACAATAATTGCTTTTTTGTACATCTTTTGTTTATCTGCACTTAAAGTCATAACTCAAGCGCCGATCTCG